AAATTGAATCGGAAAGAGTAGTTAGCCTACATTAACGACGTTGCCAATACGTTATCCTATCGATATTAGAAATTAATAAAGAAGGAGTAGATAAAATCGAATTAAATGTCTTTTTCTGATCGATTAAAAATCTTTTAATAAGCTCGTTAACCAATTAAAATATTTTTTAATCGAAATCAAACTCAACCGCAATTTCATGGAATGGAAAATTTTTTTCTGAAAAAAAGAAAAAAAAAATAGGCAACGTATTCGGTTTTCGTTTTGCGGAACAAGGAAGCTGATTTTTCTACGGACCACCACGCTGGCCCGATCATTTTCATTTATAGACTTTTTTGTATCGGCTCCCGAGGGGCAAATCCGTCCTTGAAGGGCGGAGCGTGAGGGGTCGAAGCACCCTCCTGCATCGCCGCCACCCTCTGTTGGAGTGCTCGAAGAGAGACGGGGTTAAGGGGTCATTGTCGAACGAGAGTTAGAGAGTAAGAGAGATACAGATAGAGATAGAGATAAAGAGAAAGAGAAAGAGAGAGAAGGAGTGAGAGAGAGTGAGAAGGAGTGAGAGAGAAAAAAGGAGAGTAAGAAAGGGAGAGAGAGAGAGAGAGAGAAAGGGAAAGCGATAGGGAAAGGGAAAGCGATAGAGAAGAAGACAGAGAGAAAGAGAGAGAGAGAGAGAGAGAATGAACAAGAGGGTGCGTTGCACGGTGGCCGGAGCGCACGCGTTAATTCTGGCTACTTTTCAAACGTCGTGACCTTACTGGATTTTTTCTTTTCCTCTTTCACAAATTCTCCTTCTTCGCCTTCGTTTTCTCCTTTTTTTCTCTCTCTCTCTTTCTCTCTTTCTCTCTCCCTCTCTCTGTCTTTCTCTGTCTCTTTCTCTCTCTGTCTCTGTCTCTTTTTATTTATTTTTCTCTTTCGCTCGTTCTTTTTCATTCTTTTTTCTTCTTTTTCTCCTTTTTTCTTTCTTTTTCTTTTTTTTTCTTTTTCTTCTTTGTTACCTACCTACGTCGACACACGATACGACCCCAAATGCGCGCGTGTTCCGATGATTTCCGTTTTCCGCCTCAGCTGCGCGTCGTCGGCCCTATTTATAGAGACGTTTTACGTACGCATTCACGATTTTACAAGGAACGCGGAACTTCACGGACGCACACTGCCACTTCATTTTTCTGGAAAATCTCATGCTTACGTATGCACCTCAGTGTACGTACATACATCACACAAACGAACGAACAGATTTTCTCACGTGTTCATCCAACTTTCACATGGTTTCCCTGTTGGCCCTTTTAAGATTCGTCGACTCGGAAGGGTTTTAATCATTTTTAAATAATAATCGAAATTTAAAACTCATTAACTCATAATTACGTACGACGATTTTGATAATGATAATCAAAGTTTCGTATGCATTTATCGATATTTCCAATGCAAAATAGATGCTTAATATCTTTTCATAAAAAACTTATGTGGGTTGACAATGACTCCTCAAACGATCGATCGATCGTAGGATGTGTGAATGCCAGCTGGAAATTTTCTTTCATAAGATTTCCCTTACTTCACGATGCAACCTTTTTGATTTGTTGCAGATTCATCGAGTCAAACCGCGTTTAAACGCTGTTTAAAATGAACACATTTCCAAAATATTGAGGACATACCTTTTGAGTCTATGTTTTTAATATACTTCGTTCCCACCCACTCCCTCCGTACTACAGTCATTTGAAAAAAAAAACCATTGCAAATATTCACCTCTAAAAAGCGAGCTACTTTTTAAAAAAGATTTCGAACATTACGATATTCTAGTGATAAACAAATTTATACTCAGCTATATTAAATATCATACACGAGCTATTATATCCCTTCTTTAAATGTGAAGCTTTTTCAATGGAGAAGACCTGTTGAAGGTAGAGAAGTTGAAAACATTTTTTTATCTACGATACTCGAGCTCCTATTACAAGCCACTTACACAATGGGTATCAACCTGTCGAGAGAAGGGGAGTTTTTTTCCTATCGGCCCTATTAGGTACGCCTCTATATAGGGGAAGGGTGTGTAAAGCCCCGCGATTTCGTCGACTTTTTATACCCGATTAAAAAAAAGCTGTTTAGCTCGAGGGGAAATGCAGGTGAATATTTACCTGCGAGATTCACGCTGCGAGTCTTCGTAATCAATTTAAATACATACGTGATAATCATACATAAACATCTTTCCATTTCGATAGAATATAAAATTAAGTAACCAAATGCAATTAAATATTTTTTCCATTTTAGAACATTTTTTTCTAATCATGAAAAAAATTACAAGAAGTAAAAGGTAAGAGTTCTCCCTGTAACCGTTTAATATTTTCATCTCTCCTTCGACTAGTAATTTTTTCTAACATTTTCACAACGTCCGAAAGGTTTGGAGAAGAACTTCTCCTCGGTCTAGATTTTTTTCTTACGTATCAAGAAAAAAACGGTAAGCATCAGTTTTTCTATGGATTCTAAAGCGAATAGAGGAAACATTCCACGTGAAAAATTTTTTTTTCATCTTTTTGAAGAGAACTGTACGAAAGAGGGAGTCAAGCAAGAAATTATTTTAGCGTTTTGCAAGAGCATCTTTTACGAGATATAGATAAAAAGTACTTTTGACAGACAATTCAAGTCCGTGAATACTTTCCTTTAGTGAAAGCATCGCCAAAAGAAAGGGTTGAAAAAGTTCTCAGGTATACGTACTAATCTCTCGAAGAAGAACGCGCTTTTTCTTCTTTTTATCTCTCTCTCTCTCTTTCTCTCACTCTCTCTCTCTTCCTTTATCCACCCACTGTTCAACTCGCTGAAAAAAATCACCGCGCCAACCGACTATCCGCTTTCTCGTTCGTTCTTTTTATAATCCCTATGCAACGCTTTACGAAGGTCCCGTTTTTATTGCAAAAACGCATGGATTGTTATTCTTTTTTTTTTTTGACATGGAAAATGCATTCCGTTGGTAACCGCTGAAAGACTTGAAATTATTTTATTTTCTAAGCTTTTTTTTTGTTAACAACGTGTATTATCTTTAGGACGAAAAACAAACGATGAAAAAAAACGACAAAAAATAAGCCACAAAAAAATAAACGTGGAAAATATTTTTTACCGCGCGTTTTTTTATGTGCAATTCGTATCCACTTAAACATATAGATAAAATAAAATTAAAAAAAAAACATGGGAAATTTATAAGAAATCAACCGCCGTAAAATCACGTAATCGAGAACACGTTGCCCGTCGCAACCATACCCACTTCTTATATTATCCCGAACCAAAACGTTACCACCCTTCTACAACCGAACTTCATAAACACATACATATATGTATATATATATATATATATATATATATATATATGTATAAGGTATGTATGTATGTATCTAGGACTTCTCGGTCCCTACCAACGACGCAACACAGTGCAATTAAATCGTTCGATGAGATTGTAGCTCATTTTTGAAAAAAAAACTTTTCTAAATTTTTTCAAGAAATTGAAAAGAGGAACGATATTGAAAGCTATTTTCTTCTTCATTTGTATATATGTAAAGAATGTATTCATTATCATTGTCATTACTAAGAAACTTGTAAACAATAAATTTATTAATAAAATGGTCAACGATATGACGATGATCGACCATTATTTTTATATACTAAACGTACTTATCAAATCGACATTTATACTTCACCCCTTTTATTTACGAAAATTCAATTTTGAATAGATCAAACGAAAATCATATGTGCGCATTTATTTGTTTATTTGTTTGTTTTTTATTTATTTGTGCGTGTGCATGCGTGCGTGAGTGCGTGTATAAATGCGTTTCATGTATATACGTATAAGCATATATCCAATATATAATATTCGTTTAAAAATTTGTCAATCGATATAAAAAGAAATAATTTTCAATAGGAAGGACTACAAGATGCGAATATGAACCGTAATGTGATCGTTCTGTATTCTTTTTAGAATAAGCGATTTCGGTGAAATAAGGAGAAACAAAATTAAAAGAAGAAAATAGAAAAAAAATACGTTTGACGTGCATTACATATTTTAATGTGCTTTTCTCATTCAACTTCATTCTTAAAGAAATTGTTATCTGGTAATATAGAAAAGTAACGAATATAAACGAGAATATTATAATAACCATTTCATATTGTTTCGTATGAATGAGTTCATGCATTCGATATTCGCACGATTAATATTAAACAAAACATGTCAAATGTCAAAATTTTGTAAACATCGAAATAAATATGACAAAATACAATCAAAGAGAAAATTTTTTTTAAAGATTTATATCTATAGAAAAAAATAAACCAAATATTTTTTTATTTTTCTAAGTAGAAACTTTTATCTTTATAAATAGAAATATCTACGATTCGCAAGAAAAATATGATCAAAGAAACTTATGCCGTAAAGGATCCCTTTGAATCTTAATCCAAAGTAGGGTATATATATATATATATATTATGATTCAATTTTAATCATACACGAAATATATTTTAGGAATGTTTATATACTAATCAAAATGCTTTATCTTTACAATCTATTTTCTTTTGACATTTGTTAATCGTCACTTTTTAAAGCAATACGAGTACATACGAAACTTTGATGTAAATACGAGGTAATTTTTAAAATAAGTAACATGTTTTGTAAAATGTTTCAATGAAAGAAAGAGAAAATGAATATTCTATACTTGTTACGAATTATAGTTATATAAATATTTTTAAAAATCTTGTTGGATCTTTAAATAGACGCATATAAAAAAATTCTCTTATATTTTGTACTACACACGATTATTATAATTACAAAAGAAAAAAATATATTCATATTTATAAATTCTATGCATATCTTTAGCATATAAGAACTTTTGAACTTATATACATATACATATCTGTTTTGGATTTAAGGAAGCAGTTGGTAAAGGATAGCCATTGGAATAACATTGAAAAGCTCATCAAAAATAAGAGGTTCGCAAAAAAAATAAATAAAAAACACTAGTTTTTCCGTTGTTTCAATTTAATGTAATTTATTTAAAAAGAATTAGCGGGAAGGTATGATATTTCAAATACATTACACAAATACAATAGTATAAAAACGTGTAGCGCGTCTTGGTATCGCTAGTCGTATCATTGAAGAAAAACAGTAGCCTTCTCGCGCTGTTCGTTGGTATCGCATTTGGAGTCTTGTCATTGACCCTATCATCACGTTTTCGTTACTAGACGCTTCGAGATTTGCGATCTCACGTACTTTCATGTCGAGTTTACTGTTTATCTTACGACTCTAACGAAATTACGAGAACTGTGAAATTCTCTCGCCTCTCGGTGACGCATCTTCTTTACGAGCGAGAAAATCTCGCGGTATTTTTCCGTGCGAATTGACAACAATAAAATCTTAACACAATAATAGAATAAATGTGTTCATATGTGTTCATATTAAATTTTTCTATGCTCGAATTGCAGGATATGGTTGTGAACAGAAGAAAAATTGTAAGATCTTCCATCTATCGGGAATAAAAAAAGAGCATAATATTCGTATACGAACAAATTAATATTTAGAATCATGTCAGTACGTTTTCAGATTGCATAGTATTAGGACCTACGGAATATTGTAGAAATGTCAACAACTGGAGTATTCGCTAAGCTGAAACCTGAAAAAGGATCTGACTATTATATCTAAGATAAAATGTAGAGAAAATATACTTGTTAGATATGAAATTACCTATTGCGATGATACATAAGCGTTCGTTGAATCGATATTGTCGTTAAGCGTAGTGAGATCGGAAGATTATATCGTCATTTATAAAATATAAATCTCTACTTCTGATATTCGCATTTACTCCCATTCATCCGATATAAGGGCTAAAGTATTGCCAGCAGCCGAAAACTTTTCATTCTGCACCTGAACGGTTACTTGAGCAACATTCTGAACTGCAATAGTTTTTCATAGATCTTTCCATGCTGTTGTTAGCACCAGGTAGCTAAAATATGAGGTCAACGACAGATTTATCGAAAAAGAACTTTTCTCTCCCTCTATCTATCTTTCTACCTAACTCTCCCTCTCTTTTACGTTCTACCTCACTTGCATCCTTTCTGCGCATCTTTCTCTATCGTACACGTCACGGAAAGAACGAACACGCGTCACGACACGTAAGTAAATGGTTACTCCCATATAATAATCTCGCTGTAAAAATAATTCCATTCAAAAGACATGAAAAGGGGGTAACAACGAACCCTATGACCGATAACTATATAAGTTTTAATGCTAGTCGTTTACACTTTCATTTCGAGGCGAGAAATTAAACCCGTTTTATGAGTTAAAACATTTTTTAACTCATAAAATGTTTTCTGTTAAAAATATTTTTATCTAATAGTTTTCTTAGCAAATACGTAGCAAATTCCTCCTCCATCGAAAAACACTCCTCTTTCGAATTAAAGAACTCTTACATTTCCAAACATGATAGACCTGTAGAAAAGAAATGAAATATATATATATATAGAGAGAGAGAGAGAGAGAGAGAGAGAGTGAGAGAGAGAGAGAGAGCATACTTTGAAATGGAGAACGACTTTTTATAAAAAAAACTTTGTTTAGTATATTTAAGATGACGCAAAAACATACTGTTTCTCATTCTAACAAAAATAATTGCTAATAAATAACTGCGATCAGTATTCGATCGACTTTGGCACAAGTTTGATATTGATTTTATTTTTATTTCACGAGATCGACGAGAAACAATTATTTTACAATTTTTCGATTTTTTCACCATTTAACATTGAAAACAACATTTAATAATTTTCTATTTTTAACCGTTTAAATAATAAAAACCGTCCCATTTTTTCTCGCTCTTTTTTTTTAGTCATGAAATAAAGCTCCTGCATGATCTCCCGTATCGAATTTACAATAAAAATAGCGTACGAATTTACAATAAAAATTTATTTAAAAATACACGAAAATCAGGGCTTGATCTCGTGGACAGGATAATCCAATCTCACAGAGGAGAGTTATTCGTAATTTTAATTCAAAAAAATCATCCTGTATATGCAGATCAATTGAAAATTTATTCCGATCACAATTTAGTAACCGAACATACGATATAAAAAAAAAATTAACCTTAAATCCTTTTCGCACTTTTGAGAGATGATATCTGACAAAGACATGTCCGTGACAATGTCGTTTCACGATAAATTGCTAATTCGATTATAATTAACTGACGATGCACATACACACATATATACATATTCTATCGCATCCGTGTCGAACAAGAAATGTTTTGCCGAAATGGATGCCGCACGATCGTTAGATCTCTATAAAAATGCTTTAAAAAACATTAACATGAACATAGTCATGTATAATTTAGATAAACATTAATTAATAATCGTTTAATTAAGAAAATTAATTAGATAAAAACTCGTCGTCTAATACTAAAGTGGGATAAATAAAATTGCAAATGTGAAAATGATAAAAATAAATAAATAAATAAATAAAAATAAAGAAGAAAAAAAAATTACAAGATAAAATATTGGACTCGTAATCAGTGTGGCGATCACCGATGTGTTAAGATGTAAAATGATCTACAGAGAACCGTGTCACGTTTGCATTCACGGTTCATTGGTTTAGGATATTTTTATGTTAAAGCTATGATCGAAACAAACATAAGAGTGAAAAATAAAAGTTACTCTCACTAGAATTGGTTATCTAGTAAGCCCCGCTGCTTCAATATAAACACTTCCCTTATAAAACAATAGATTATATTTCTACGCCCCTCTCTCATCACTTTCTCTCTCTCTCTTTCTCTTTCTCTTTCTCTCTCTTACGTATTCTTACAAAGTACTTACGTTTATATTAGAACTATGATAAACGATAAAAGCAGTTGAGAGCCTGGAAAAAAGCATAGAAATACATTCTATTGTTTTATAATGGAAATATTTATATTTAAGTAACGAACAGAATATAGCTTACTCGATGACCAATAATAAGAAAAAAAGCGCCGAAAATCAAATATTACTTTTTCTTTCGGTATTATCGCAGTTCTTATCGTTGATATATACATAATCTTAATAAGATAATGGATATGGATAAATTTATAAATAGTAAATTAGAATAATTAAAAAAGAAACGTTTATTGAATCTTCTTTATGAATTTAAAAAAATTCAAATAACCGTAACAACTTTGTAACTATAGTATTATTACAGCTCTACTACAAACATAGCAAAGAAAGATATACCTGAACTTCTATCACAGCTCGAACATAAATACATCCTTACCAGTCAACTCAGTTTGAACTTTGAAGCTTGCTACTTCTTTATGTCGTGTACGATATGGTTTGTTACCACTTTTCAGGAGAGAACGCTATATTTCTAGTAAGTCGGACTTAGGATAAATATATACTCAAGAAGCCAAAACAATAACGTTGCTTTCGATACATAATCAAGTTTTAACATTCGCTACGAGTGAAACTTGCTTATCTATTTCCGAAAGGAAACAACGCCACCTGTGTATTAGAATGTTAATAAGATGACAGATCGGTATCAAGTAGATCGACGGTAGATATCATATAACCAAATAATTACAAAATACGCCAAGAAATTTCTTATTACTACAAAAATAATATAGCGGCGTTGTCACCATCATTGTCTCCTCATCGTTCTACGAATCGTTATAATATCGTAGTTCTATTGCAAATATAACCGTGAACATTACGGGGCTCTTTTCAGTGACTACACATGCTTAAAAACCAGCGGACATTAATGATTTAAATCTTTTCTCGGGTTATATTGTTCAGCCAATATTCACGTTCACGATAAATTCTCGTTAATTTAATTATTTTGATAAAATGATAAAATCCGAAAATCCTTAAATATCAATATCGTCGTTAGTGAAGTGCAAAGATCCAATTTATATTATATAATTGAATTTTATATATATAATTGAGAATCGCACAAATATAAAAGTAAGTGACCGCCAAATGTATCCATAATAATCCACATCCATCGTGTATATAAATATATTAATGAAAAATTATTTCGCCAATAATTTCAGAATAATATAGTATTTGCATAGATCCATTTGAAATATTATTTGAGTTTACAATACATTTCGATCATGATCTATACTATTATATGTAAAATATTCTTTTTCAGAACTTTTCAATATGAGAAGTTTACGGAAATTCACAAACTATAGTAGATGGTAATTTGATCGGACTAATTGGACATTTATTTTACATTATTATTAAATAATATAATTGATGTTTGAATAAGTCTTTAAAAAAAAAAAGGAAAGAGAACTATCATTCTCCAAAAACAGATTGTACGAATTTCTCTAAGAACAGAACAGCGAATAATTTCAGAACTTAAAGTACCGTCATTAATATATAACGCATAGTCTTAAGTTAAGTCATTTCAAACCAATTTTCTATTGTTTATTTCTCTTTCTATTTCTTTATTTTTCACAGATTAAAAGGGATAACAAGAAAAAAAAACGACAAGAACGACGTTGATAGGTCCAGTTAATGTATTCAAGTGAAGCAACGAACGGAAATGAAAAGTAATCATAAATTCGTTGCAAAGTGACGATGTAAAAGTATGCGTAAGTGCTCGAATTAATATTTCAATAACTCGGATGAAAGAATAGAAATACGCGCGTAATAATGCACGCGGTGAAAAGAAAGAAAGAGAAAAGAAAGAAAGACAAAGGAAGATGTCTCATCGGATATTCGTATGAATTAGTTGTATTTAACTAAGCAACGAATTGAAAATATAGGACTAGCTTATGCGTATAATAAGAAAAAAATTCTAAATAATCATTAAAGTATATATATATATATATATATATATATATATATATATATATATGTATACATATAAAAACAACCAAGATGATTTTGAGATTGGTCAAATTTCAGATAAATAAAAAAAATATAATAGACGAATTCGTTGAAAGACGGATTAATTCGAATATATCCAGCTAGAAAATTTTTTTTATAGCAATGATCGTTATCATCTAATGCCCTCGTACAAAGGATATATATATATATATATATATCTCACATATATTTGTGTCTACGTTTCTTAACAGAAATTAAATAACAAAGAGCTTTAGTAAACATTATCGCAAACTCGTCTTATTTCAATAGATTATAAACAAGCACGATCAAAAACAAAGTCAAAGTTCATTTCGCGAATAACGTACTCGTACTTTGTTATTCTAAACGTTCCTTTGATTTCCATACATAAATAACTTGAAACCGGAACGAAACATTAGAAATAAATTTAGTAGAATTTTGAATTCTTTTGAATGAAATTCATTCGGTTAACTTGATTGGCACACTTTTCGTGCCAAAGTTCGAAAAGAAAGATGGAAACAAAAAAATGGAAAAGAGTAGAAAGTACACACATTGTTTCTTCGTAATGTATGCTACTTCTCTTAGAAAGTAAAAATCTTCGTGATGTAGAAATTCTTGATCGAAGGATCTATTGTTAAAATCTTTCTCTCTCTTTCTCTCTCTCTCTCTCTCTCTCTCTCTCTTTCTTTTGTTTTCCTTCTTTTCCTTCATCTTCCTTGACACGAAAATACATATATAATAGCGGACAACAAAAGGTCAAAATATTCCTTTAATAAACACAACAATAGTTTATGCTTCTGTATTTGAAATACGCCGGTGTTTACTGATCTTTTCTCTTTCGGGTCCTCTTCTCTTTACTTTATGTTTTGAAGATTGAAATTTCACAAACTAATTTCTAAAATATAATACAAAATTTTTTTTGAAAATTTCTTTTTCAAAAAAATTTTTTTACAAATTGAATTTACTTTACAAATTCCTGGCTTCATTTTCTAACATATTTAGACTCCATTTTTAGTCCTAACAATCTTTAAGAATTTATAAGCTCGTTCATATTCATTTTTAATCATTTCTTATCCCATCTTTCACATTATCTGCAAACTTTTCACGAATTGTTTCCACTCTGAGTAAGAAAAAAGAGGTTAAAAACGAATTGTATTACTTCATAAATACTTAACAATAGACCTTTCCTTTCTTCTGTATATTTTCTCCATTAACTTTTATTACTTTATGGTTTCGTTTTCTAGCCATCCTTAAAATAAGTTTCGTTCGATGAATTTTTTTCATGACCTTTGCTATGTAAGAAAGAATATTATTAAAATATATGTTAAAGAATTTCATGTAAAATATTTCATAATAATGATTTAATATATATTTTAATATAACTTGGTTCGAATGATTTACATTCACACGAGAAAAAATCCAAATAGAAATAATAGCAAATATCAAAAGAATAAAATTAACAAATATTCCCTAGAGTTAAAAAATTTTTAGCAGAATTATTACAATAATCATCTTTTAATCCTAAAAATCTTTGTGGGGATTCATTTTTTCTTATATATTTATCCGTACAAATAACCACTGGTATTAAAAAGACTCCTGGGATTAAAGAAACTGATGGTGAAAAGACGAGAATAATAACTATGGTAAATCGAGAGAAAGTCATTTCTTTTTTCCGTATTAATAAATAACTAATTATTTCCATTATCTCTTAATAACTTTCTACAAGATGTCATATTGTCAATAGCGTGTAATACATCACACGTAATTCATCGCATCGTAATACAAAAATGTTTTTTCACGTAAATGTAAACGCAAAAACATATTTGCAATTTTCTTTGATATCGCAATCGTGTTTTAATAACTCGTTGTGTTTCTACAGTTGATTAACGAAAGTTTCCGATGAACTAGGAGTACAGGAATATGGTTGTTGGGTGACTTGATCTTGATGCCATAAAACATTTCAACAGTGAAAACTCTTAAATCTTGTCTTAACGTAATCGTGATTGATCAAAGGAAAACGAATTTATAGGAAATTTAACAATTGAAAAAACAAAAATTTCTTCGAAATTCTATATACCTGCTATTAATACTACTACGAATTATAGTTGCTAATCCTAAGAATTATAGCTGCAAATACATTTTCCTGGAAATTGATGTATTTCTGACAGAAAAGAACATGAAAATTAAACAGTACAGAAAATTATTAATTTAGAAATTATTCAAGCAATCCATAGACATAACATAATATCGTCATGATAAATAATATCATTAGCATAATATCGCAGTAAAATGCTTGGTGAGAGAGACGGAATTAGTAAAAAAAAATTAAAAGCTCAAGCACATTAAGTTATATAGATAAAAAATATGCTCCCTAGTTCGGTGAAAAGTAAAAAAGAAATAAATAAAATAAATAATAATTTCTTGTCAGAACATATTATAAAAAGTCTTAATTTTGTACGCCAGTTTTTACAACTTTAACATTTAAATTTATTTCAAACGATTAATAATAATACATATTGTCTTTATGATAGCTCCTATTCTATTAACTATCATTCTACATATCAATTGAAATCTCTTGTGACTAGACAGAATAACCGCCAAGTTATTTGCACGAATTTGAGAGGCATATCAATTATAATGTTAAAAAACACGGAAAAATTATTTCTTTATAAAAATTTATTTTTTCTTTTTCATTATCATAATTTTATAATTCAATATATACAGTATACTATTTAAACGAATATAATAGTACGTGTAATAATAATTTGTGGGAATTATTTTAAGAAAATACTTTGATTTATCTATATGTTTAAAAGGAATACACACTATCGATGGATTTATATTTACATTCATTAGAAATGTATTTATATAACATTGCCAAACCTTATATTACAATATGAACAAAATAATGTATCACCATTTGACTTAATCGTAAATTTCGGAAACGACCACCTGAAATATGATGGACATTGATATTGAGGACGATCTTTAAATTAGTTTTTTAAATGATCCTCCGATTGAAGATCTACTGATTCTCCAAATGATGAACTTCCAAGCAGTATACCAAAATACGGAGGGCATTTTACTCGACTTTAGAAAATTCATTTAGAAAATTTTGATGAAATTTCTTCATCGAATGTATCTTCTGAGAAAATTTATCAACGATCAAATTTATATACTATGCCTATTCTTCAGCTAGTACAATTTATTCTCATTGGAGGAGGAGAATTTTTTTCGGTCGAATAATCATTCTATCCTTCCTAAGAATGGTGAGAACCAGCAATTACTTAGATTCAACAGAACCAACGAATTTCTATTGGGAAATGTTCTATATGGAAAATCAGTACAGATAGGAGTATTGTATACTATCTTCTATAATATTTAAACCGTTAATCAATTGACTGCAATATTAACCATGACAAGCGCCATATTAATAGGTGAAGGGTGGATAACCGTTATTAAAACGAAAATAAGATTCTTCGAAGAGAATCATCGAGAAGGAATCGTTGTTTTCTGCATTGCGTTTATCGATTCGACGTTCGAAGTTCTAATTTCTTCTTGATTATTCTCCACTGCCGATCTTTTTCTTGATCCACGTTTTGTGCAATACTGTGATCAGCAATAGATTTGTTGAATCCTGGACATTCGATATCATCAACGTTAAGTGAGTATATTTTCTTAAATGTAATTTGAGTGATAATATTGCAATCTATAATAAGTGAGCTAATTTATACTGTTGAATATTTAGTGAAATTTTGAATGGCTATTTAACATTGTATTGTTTACGTGAAAATAAAAACATTCGTCATATTAGAATGGTTTATAACCGAAATGATTTGTTAAGTAATATTCAAAATGATGCTGAATAATCTATTAGGAATCTATAATTACAATCCGTAAGTAGTTTGTCATCTTTTATATCGACGATGTTACAAAATTCTTTATAGTTACAGCAATGAATTTGACATTCTTTGTATCGAAATATTTTTACTCTTCCCTTGGAATTTATATCGATGGTAATAGAAATTTATGATAATTGGCAGTAATTGGCGATTTATTTTCCTGAACTAGCTAAAGTAGTATCGTTACATTCTTAAGAGATGTCTGAAATTCTTTTAATGTTTCTGTCTATTCCAATATTTTGAATATCGAAATTGTTGTTATAATAATTAAATATGCTCGAGAATACTCGCTCTACGAAAACAATAGCCAGTTTAAAATCTGTTATTTATCTATTAAACTATCGCGTAATAAAAACATGTATTAAATAAGTAAAATTTTTATACTGGTATAATACTATTTTTATTATTTGCCTAATAATTAATTAAAATTGTTAATTTCGTTAATAATAGTTTATATAGCTTTTCTCATAAAACGATGTCTGTCAACATACCCGATTAAATTCGCTATGCCACAAATTAGATATGCAAATTATTAGATACGCAAATTAGATTTTATGCATTATTCCAGATAGACATGGATTTATAATAGTAATCATCATTCCTTCTAAGATCATCAATTGGTTTAAATTCGGTGAATAATATCGATAAATTATATTCATTAAAAAAAATTATTCATTGTGCGTTACGAAGAGTATTGTTAAAGTGTATATCATTTGGATTATCTTGGGTAAGGTTTCGAGTTAATGAACTGCAATTTTCCTGAGCAAGTTCCAATCATGAGAAATGTAGAATTACTAGCATATCCGTCCAGTACTATTCCATATTCGTCACACTCACCCCCTAATAATACTTTTCTCTGCAGTGAAAAAAGAATCAGTTTTTTTTTCGATAATCGAGAATATTCCATTGAAGATAGAAAAGTAATATTTTGCAGGAGGGAAAATATTACAAACGATAGGAAACGAGGAAAGGCGAAACAGCGGGAGGGGTATCTACTTATGTATGTTTGAAAATAGGTATACGTGAAATCTTACCAGCACGGAACACTAAATTAAGAGAAAAAAAAAATAAGAAAATGGGAGTTTCTGGCGATTATTCACTACAATTGTATCTATATCTATCTAATTGTATCTAATCCCAATGGTTATGGTTGAAGAATTTGGTTTAAATGCAACTTCTTTTTCTTATTCAAACGAACAGATTAGCGTCTCGTGGAAATGAACTAAGTAATCATTTGATAACTTCAAATTGATATTTTGAATAATAATATCAACAGTAAATTAATCGATAAATTTTTGAGGATACTTCATAAGGAAATATAATATATAATATATAATCATTAATGTAATGCGCTATGATCTGATCATTGCGTTACATAAGTCTATTGCTATGATTTGTCTCTGACAAAAATGACAATTTTTGTCATTGTCAAAAAAATTGTATGAATTAAGGAAGAAAATATTCAAAAAATCGATTTATTTCGACAATCGATGATCTTCCAATAATTATGACTCTTTTTATATCATTATCGTTTACTTTTTACTTTCTTATATCATAAAAAGTATATCGTGTTAAATGAAATTATTCATTTTATTAAATTTAAATTGTTTCATTTTATTGAAGATATTAAATTAAGGTTAATTTTACAATATAATTAATAGTTGCTATTAATAATTTCTATTAATATTGGCACTGTATTCTTGTTTCAATCAATAATCGATAATATATAGATAAAAATAATTTCCTATAAAAAAAAAATATTAAATCAAAAACATAATTTGTCCCATAATCATCATCCAACAAAGTTCATAAAATTGAAAAACGTAAATTGAAAAACGAAGCTTCAGTCATTTTCATTATATCCATTATTTCTACGCCCTATCAATCTATACAAAATTATTAATATTTTATTCATCTTTTTCGAAACAACAAAAAATGCACACTTCTAAAAATATATATTTCTGTATAATATTTACATGTTCTTTTCATAATAAACTCCTTTCAAAAAGGTATAAGTCTCGATATTTATATTGTACTATAATTTTATATATATGAATATTACATAATTTTTATGTAAAAAAAACATGTACCGAATCAGAAAGAGTGATTCACAAATAAACTTTTTGTAACTTCGAGTAACTTTATTGTTTTTCCATATAATTTATTACATATTTCTAGTAATTAGTATACTTAAGTACTAGAGAATTAGAGTTCTGATTAGTCGAAGTTTTGCTTAAATAGAAAAAACTCAAGAGTTAAAATTTGCTACAGCTATTAATAATTATTATAATTTTTATGCTTTCTTTTTTTATTAACACGTTAACTGCCACGTAAAATATTGACAAAATTTCGTTAGAACACACCTACCATAAGAAGAATGAAAATGTCGTTTGCATATGGAGACGATATAATGAACGACGCTAAATATGACTATAGTCTGGAAAATTACAGTAATTAATTCTATTGGAATATAATGTAGACAACTGTGGTAAAAGTAGTTCAGATCGTATAGTGTTTTATATGAGAAAGTTTAAGAAGAAAAATAAAATACTCGCGTAAACTTGTTATACAACTTATAACTAAGAATTATAGCTGCAAATGCTTTATTTGGTGATATCATTTTCGACAAAAAAGAATATGAAAATTAAGTAATACAGAAAATAGTTAGTTTAAAAATTACTAGAACAGTTCATAGACATAGCATAATCTCGTCATGATTTATAATGTCATTAGCATAATATTGTAATCATTAAAAATACTTACTGAGAGGGACGAGGTTAGTACATAACATTAAAAGCACATGTACATTACTTTATATAGATAAAAGTACACTTCCTATATCGGTCAAAAATAAGAATAAATAAATAAAAGGAACAATAATCTATTGTCATATTATAAAATTCTTGAATTTTGTTTGACAAATTTAACAACTTTATATTATTGTTTATTTTAAGTCATATAACACATATAATAATTATTAATTCTATTTGTTCCTATTAACTATTATTCTCTATAGCAACTTGAATTCGTGACCAGATAATATGAAAGCCAAATTATTCGCATGATTTCGAATAGCACAGCATTCATTCGAAATCATGTAAAGATTCAAAAATTTATTTTCTTTTATTATTATAATTTTATAGTTCAATATATAAAATATTCTATATAAATGAATATAATAATAGAGGTAATAATTCGATATTGAAGTTCATGTGAAAATTAATTTGTGGAGGTCATTTTCCGGAATTGCTTCGATATATCTATATGAAGAAAAAAAATCCACATTGTTGATGAATTCATACTCAACTTTATTAGAAGCCTACTAATCATTACATTGCTAGATCTTACAATATAAACATTTTTTTAAACGAATATCTGAAATATAATGAAGATTTATATTCTGAACAATCTTTCAAATAGTTTTTCGAATGATCTTCTGATCGGTATTATTATGGTTCTGTAATTGATAATCTTCTAAGCGATCTTCCAAGCTACAAAGAGAATTGGAGTCGATTTTATAAGACTCGTTTAAAAAATACTGATATTGTAGCTGAACTTTTCTTCGAGCAAATGATCATCGTTCCAAGGAAGATGAGAAATTACATAGATTCAATGGTACCAACGTTTCCTGCATTTTTTTTCCAATAGGAAATGTTCTAGATTTTAGAGATCAGAACAGATTAAACTGCATACAATGATCTATAATTTTTAATCCATTGCTAGACCATTAATCATGATAATTTGTGGTTAAAATAATTAATCAGCATTGAATTGTTTACGCATAATAAGAACATTTGAATATTCGATTTTTAACAGAAATAATTTTTTAAATAATATTTCATATGGTGCTAAATAATCTGTCACGAATGTATAATTTGAATTCGCTAGTAGTGTGTCATCTTTTGTACTGATTATATTACAAAATTCCTTATAGTTACAGCAATGAGTTTGGCATTTTTTGTATCGAAATGTTTTTACTCTTCCCTGGGAATTTATATCGATGGTAATAGAAATTTGCGGTAATTAGCAATAATTGACGATTTATTCTCCTAAACTAGGTGAAGAATTATCGTTACAGACATTTCTGGAAATCTGTCTCTGTCCATTCCAATGTTTTGATTATCGAAATTGTTGTTATAATAATTTTATGCTTGAGAATACTCGCTCTACAAAAACAATAGCCAGTTTAAAATCTATTATTTACTTATTAAATCTATCTCTTAATGAAAAGATGTATTAAATAAATAAAACTTTTATGCTAGTATAATATTATTATCATTTAATAATTAATTAAATTAATTAAAAATTTATTAAAATAATTAATTCCATTAATATTAGTTTATATAGTTTTTTTTCATAAAACAATATCTTTCAACATACCGTTTAAATACTCTGCGTCAAAAATTGAACAGAAAAGAATATATCTATTATTCCTGATAGACATGATTTTTGTAACACTATTCAGATCCATTAAAAATCATCAATTTGTTTAAATTCAGTAAATAATATAGATAAGTTAATATTCAATTAAAAAATCATTCATTGTGAGTTACGAATAGTTTGTTAGAATGTATATTATTTGGATGCTGTTGAGTATGATTTCAAAATAATAAACTGCAATTTGTATCTGAGACAGTTCCGATCATAAAAAATGTATAATTACTAGCATATCCATCTGATAATATTCCAGAATCGTTGTACTCATCTCCTAATGATACTTTTTTCTGAAAAAAGTGAAAAAAGAATCAGTTGTTTTTTTTTTTCGATGATCCAGAAAATTCCATTGAAGATAGAAAAGCGACATTTTATAGATTGAGAAAGAGAAAATATTGCGAACGATAGAACACGAGGAAGATTGAGAGAGTGAGAAGAGTATTTACTTATATGTGTGAAAATAGGTATACATGAAAGCTCACTAACACGGGACAATAAATTAAGAAATGAAGAAAAAAATAGAAAATGAGAGATTCCAACGATTACTACAGTTCTATCAGTATTATTCCAAGCGGGTATAGTTGAAGAATAGTGGGAATATTATTGCTCTTTGTCAATTTATTGCTACTAATTTTGAAGGGGCATTGTTGAAAAATTTTAGTAGTTTGAAGGGGCATTGTTGAAAAATTTTAGTAGCTTGAAGGGGCATTGTTGAAAAATTTTTTAAATAATATCTAGGAAAAAAATATTCTTAATCGAATAGTTACACTCTACGTATTGAAATCGTATATTAGAAATACAAATATGTTAGATCAAATACGAAAAAAGATAGTTTGAACAACATGAAGGTTAAATCTATTGCCGATGATATATAAGCTATAAATAAATCTTCAGTTACCATGAGCTTTGTACACCTCTTTTTTCTATTGGTTAGAAATATCAAAGAAAATAAAAAGGAAAAGTAACGTAAGTAGGTCTAGTAGCTTTATTTAAATGGAGCAACGATAGAAATGAAAAATGATATTTTTGACTTTTGGCCAAATCTCATTGTCCCTTACTTTATCTACGAGCCGAGTGTCATAAAAGGAGGCTCGAGAACCGTCCGTCACGTTTCAAAGAGAGGAAAAGAAGTTTTCACTTTCAAACCCATTTTATTCGTTAACATCGAAAAAGGATGAAAAAGAAAGAGTGAGGAATAATAAAATCATTTTTTGTTGATATCACTTATATGATTAAAAAATTATTTGCCTATTTTAAATCGTGATAATAGAAACCGATAATCGTGTCTACGCTTAAATCAAATGTCAAATTTTCGTAAATAGAAAAGTCGCGGCAAAGAAATAGTGGAAACGATATAAAATGTATGAGTGCTCGAATATCATTGAAATGACTCGAAGAAAGTAATGGCCACATTTAAGAAAAAAACACATACAAAGATGAAAAGAAAAGAATGGAGGGAAAAAACAAAATATCGAAATATATCCTTATTTATATAAATTAGTTGTTTTACATCAAAGTAACAAATCAAGAATATATGACTGGGTCGCTTAAGATAAGAAAAAAAAACGCGAATAATCTTGCAAAGTTTATTTTAAAGTCTATGAAATTTTCTGAGATTTCAATGAGCGTTAATAACGTAACCAGCAAATTCGCGGAAAACAAATCGGCGAGAAGGTTACCAATCGAGAAAATATTTTACATTAAAATGACGAATGATCCTTCTCACTTAATACTCTCATACAAAATGCTCTTCATTATCAAAAGCATTTATTTATCAAAAAATATTAAACAGGAATAAGAAATTTAATAGATATTATAATAATAACTTGTCTTATTCTAAATAGATTATAAAAGACATACGATCAAAGACAAAGTCAAAATTGATTTTGCAAAAGACAGTTTTTCTCTCTTTTTCTAAATATTCCTTTAATTTCTATACATAAGTAATTAGAAAGCGGAACGATACATTCTTTGGATCAGGTAGGAAGATGTAAAAAGAAAAATATAAAAAAATAGAAAATACATATACCGCCCCCTCTCTCTCTCTCTCTCTCTCTCTCTCTCTCTCTCTCTCTCTCTCTCTCTCGCTCACCTTTCTTCTTCTCTTTACTTCAAACTCAAGTATTAGAAGTTAATTGACTTAGTTTACGTTTAATATTAAAGGTACAAAAAATTAACTAAGTCAAATAACTTCTAATTTTCAAAATACAATACAAAATGAAAAATGCAAAATGAAAAATTTATTCAAATTTACCCTAGACTATAAGTTCACGTCTCTAATACATTTTGTCAGTCACATCGTCGAACTAATAATTTTTAGAAATTTATATATTCGTTCGTAACCCCACTTTCGATTCTCTTTTACTTTTACTACCCGTACTCCCTGAATTTCTTACGAACTGTTTCCGCCCCCAAGTACCTTACTTGACGTTAATGACGTCATTATTTGGTAATAACGAATCATATCATTCCGTTTAGCGTTATTTTTCTTTTAGGATATTGAATACCGAATAATCTTTTCCATTTCTATCTCAGCGTCCTCCTTTCCATTCTTTTATGTCCTTTTCACTGTCTTTAAATACTTTTATGTTTATTGTGGTTTTTCTGCTATCCTTGAAGTCGTTCAATAAACTTTTCTTTATAATTTTTCTAATAATAAACTGTTAACTGTATCATTTTTTTCTATAATACATTTATTATTAAAGTATATATCAAAAGATTTCATCATAAGAAAATAATATATAAACTAGATTCAGATAACTCATATTCGAAAGAAATAATCCAATGGAAATAATTATTGCAAATTTTATATGAATAAAGTCAAAAAATTTTTTCTTAACTTTAACAATCCTAATCTGTACTATTCAATCCAAGCTATAAATTAAAACTAAAAATTCAATTCAAACTATAAATTAAAACTTATATATATATATAAAGAATAGAGATTTTTTTGTTTAAAGAAAATAATGAAAAGATAAAAAAATTTTCTCAGAAAATTCTTCTTGACTCTTTACCATCGTAATTTTTTTATATCTCCAGCCCAACCAGTCTCTTATGTTTTTATCTAAAAAGATAAAATATCTGTAAATAGAGAGATTTAATTAAAAAATAATATCAATTATTATAAATATTAGTGTAGCAACAATATTGTGCGGCTTAATGACAAAAATCACTTAAACAAATAAAATTTTGTAAGAAGAAAAATGTGATAGCTCCTTGTTGTTCATGTTTCCTGTTAGAAGACCTTGCATACAACGTATTAGATACAATATATCTTTAACTGTACGAAAGACTAGACAGGTTAAACTATTGTGGATTGTCATTAAGATACTTCTTGAAAAAGATAATTATCATTATACCACCTTTTATTATTAATAGAAATATAGTAATAAATTTTTGTATTCAAAAAATAATGTAATCCAATTTGGTACAATCCGATTTAAGTAGTGCAATTTTGTCGAAAGTCAAAATATTTTGTGACCAAAATTTATAAGTATGTATGAAATGTATTAGAGAAACATAATGCTTTTCCAATAATGATCGTGTTAAAATCGTAGCATAGAAATGTATATAATAGGTAGATCTTTTCGTAAAAATAAAATTCTTACAGATTATCTCTTAAATCCAATTATTTAGATGATCTGTATTTAAACTCGATATTTGAAATTTCATAAATGCTACGCTGTAAGAGTATAGAGATTTTGAAATTATATATACATACATTGCGATTTAAATTATGAAAGGTGTTTTAATAAAAAATAAATACAATATAAATAGTTTAAGCTTGAACAATTAAGAATTATACTTTAGCGCAATTTCTTCGATGATAACTGTATTATGAAATATCGAACATAATAAAAACTCGTTATTCTTGATTTACGATATACTGAGTATATTCAATTACTATATGTTATGTTTAACAAAAAAAGAAAAAAATTGTAATTATTTAAAATTGTATTATATTTAATACCAAGTAATCCTATTTTCTAACTAAATGTCGTATGTATAGCGATAAAATTGTTATTGTCCAACCGTCCGATCGACCTACTAACACGACAATAAACAAACAAAACATATCAAATTTTATATTTTTTTTAAATTCAATCCAATTTCTTTTCTATCAATATTACAACATTTCTTAATACTTCACTACTTTTATTCTATATATATATATATAGAAATATATATATCAAACTACAATAAGACTTATACACGTTATATAACAGGGATGTACAATTTTGAGAAGTTACTAATTTTTATTTTTGAGAAGTTACTTATGAAACAAAAATGTAAGTGTAAGAAATGAAGACACCACGGCTTATTATTCAAAAAGTTTAGGCTTTAGTAATCCTTTAAAAATATTTTTGAAAAATATTATTCTCAAAGAAGCTAATAAAGGTTTTTATTTTCAGATCGATGCATATTTTTATCTTCACGAAGTTTCGGATAATTTTAGATAATTTATGATATTCGCCAGCAAGTTAATTTTTATTGTACCCCGACTATTAAAGGACACAAACTTTGATTCTTGTAATAACAGGATTAGCAATAGAGAAAGTTGGTCTCTTATTTTCTAAAAATTTTGTTATTTTTCTTGACGTTTTTCAATTGATGAAGGAGTAACTTTCCTTTGTAAAAGAAAAACAAGAATCCGTCTTTTTCATTTGTTCACGTCCTGATTCACGTTTTGTTCACAAATCTTTAAAAATATGTGAATTTCTTAGTTTTCTCTCCTTTCCTTTCGAAAAAGGTGTACCATTTTCTCAAAGGAAAATATATGACAGCAAGAGAATACTTTTCGAACTACTTAACAAAAGTATAAAATCGAAGGTGTGTTCAACTTAAAGAGTTCAACGATTTCTCAAAGAACATATTTTCAAAGAGTGCTCGAAAAATACCAGTAACCTTGAATAAAGATTTTCAGTAACCAGGACTACAGTTAAATTTTTCATTATAATGAATTAAATTAAACCATAAATAAGATTTTAGATAAAAATACATTATATGAATATTTAAAAACCAGTGATAGAGCTTTAAACACAGAAAGAAAGAAATAAAAAGATATAGGAACCGATGAGGTCAACAAAGTTACCGCAACATCATCAATAGTATGCACCTTTTTTATCTGATAAGTAATAGAAAAATATAAACAGAAAAAAGCTCCTAACAAATGCTACTACAAAAAAGATTTTTAAAACCACCTTGTTATTACCATCTCAATTCTAATTCTAAGAACTATCCGAACATCTAGACTCACTTTTTAGGTACCATTCATTTTTTATTTCTTTCCTTTTTTCTCTCCTCCATCCTCTTAAAACTTTCAACTCGAAATTTATATCTTATGCACCTCAATTTTATTTAAATGGTCGAATCAAAATTTTTATTAAATTTACCTGTATTAAAATTTTCGAATAAAAAAAAGAATTCAATTTCGTTCTCCTTATACTTTACTTCCTCCTTATCCTTATTTTAAGTAATAAAGATATTAACAGCAATATTTCAATAAATCAATAAATCATTACAAGTAAAAACTGGAATTTCTACTTAACAACGATTTTCTTACAAGGTAGATATTTAATAATATTTTAGATATATATGTTATAATACTGTAAATGTACGTATATTATATATAATTTTATATGTAAAAGAAAATAGAAGGACTTGTATACAAATGCTGAAAAAATTTAAATATCACCGAACTAATCGAGATAACGCGCAAGAAGTGTACGCATTTATTCATTTTACTTCATTTGCTGGCAAGTAATGGTTAAAAGTTCAAAGTACGTGTCTAAAAAACATCGCGGTAATCAACGTATTAGTAACGCAAACAAAAGTTGAACTCGATAATAAGATAGATAAGAGAATTAACAAGTGATAATTAGAAAAGCAATATGCCTTAAAAAGATTGTTTTCTTGATAAAAGAGATTTTCTATAAAAAAAAAAATATCCAAAATTTGTTCTCTTCGTTATCTATAACGATAATGTAAATTACACACACATGTACATTACACACATACGTACATTATACATATTATTTTATAATTTTTTATAAATTATACATATTATATTATAATTTATTTTAATAATCAGGAGAAAAAATTGAATTATACAATATGTTGAAAAAGTTCTTTCGATCATCATAAAACTAGTTTTCATCTCTAAACTACAAACTTCTAATTATCGAACAGGATCGATCTACGAAAATAAAATCAGCTTTGCCAAAATAACTCATTGGTTCAATGTTTTATCCTACTTCAAGAAAAAAATATTTTTATCTAACAAAACTCATGGAGGATTTCGGTGATATGAAAGAGACTAAAACACAGCTGTTTAAATGTTATCCTAATACTTCAATACACCTTCAATACAACTACATATAATAACATGTTTAAATTCTCAAATAGCGAAATATATTGGAATAGTTTTCTTCTTTTTGTTAATTTTCGCATCCTGCAATAACTTTTTCACATGCATATTAATACAAAAAAAAATTACTTTTTTTAATCATCCACATATAAAACTGTCATTGATAATTTTTATGTATACATTTTACATTGTAATATCACGTGTGATCAATACGAACGAGTCCAAACAAAGATTTCGAACTTCGAAAGGTGTTTAAAATGCTCACTTTCGTTACTCTTCTCCTTGCCAATCATGATGAATAAATAACAATGCTCGGCATCAATAATATCTATTTTTATTCGCTCTCCATCCAAAAATATAACATAGCTAAATTAAATATTGGTTACTTATTTAAAAAATGTCGAAAATGCATATGTAAATCTGTATACTTTATTGTCATTATAATTAAAAAATTTTCTTGCCGAATTATGCATGAAATTACGCATGAATATTTTCTCATTTTATATGTTCGAAGGAACATTAACGTTATATTAGCAAATAGAAAGAAATCAAATGATCTTATAATTTTATAAATAGCTTAAAAGATCCGTATATGAGAAAATACACAGATTAAAAAGGAAAAAAAAATAAGTTCAAGGTGCATCCTTGTACTACCATTGAAAACGAAACATTCTGTTGGTTTCTCCAAAGGACTCGTTGAACAACGAGGAAAACGATTTTTACTTGTAAGTAACGGTCCAAGGATGAAAAAAAGAATTCATCGGAATCTATAGAAAACTTGAGACGATAGCCACTGGTGGCCTGATATTTGTGGCCTGCAGATCAGGCTCGAACGCACAAATGACGCCCCTCTATAAGGACGAACAACTGACAGCTGACCTACGCTCATATTGGAATGATCCATACTTACAGTTCATTTGGAAACATTACCACAACATGTTTTTTTCCTCTCACAATTATGACTTTTGCGGA